CTCCTCCTCCTCCTCCTTCCTCTCCGCCTCCTCCTCCTCCTCCTCCTCCGCCTCCTCCTCCTCCTCCTCCTTCTCGCAGCTGCACATGGTTGGGTCTTGCGTCAGGCCTACTTGCGACGCGAGAATGCTCGGACCTCCCCGACAGCGGGCTGCCTCGATGCCTTGGGGGTCTGGGCCTCTCCTGCCCAAAAGGGGGCCCGAGCGGTGGCGGCGCCCTGAGGAGGAGGAGGAGGAGGAGGAGGAGGAGGAGGAGGAGGAGGAGGAGGAGGAGGAGGAGGAGGAGGAGGAGGAGGGGGAGGGGGAGGGGGAGGGGGAGTGGGAGGAAGACAAGCTAGGTGCGCTCGCGTCATATCTGACATCCTACCCCTCCCTCCCATCCCTTTACCATGGCGTAGATCCCCCCTCTACTCGCACAGTCGGATGTTACGCAGGGCAATGATCCCGAAAGGGTACGCGATGCATTGTAGAACACGGCATGGCATGGCGTAGAAGCGCACCGCAAAGCGTAGTATGTCACAGCATGGCGTGGCGTGGCGTAGTGAAGAGTTGCATCACAAAGCTTTGCAGCGCAAAGCATGGCATCGCACAGCGGCCCCGAACATAACATTGCATATCATGGCGTTGAAGATCAACGCGTAGCATGGCATAGCATGACGTGGCACTTACGCACTGGATATGACAGCTGCAGCTGAAGGCATGGCATCGCGCAGCGGAACGCAACCGAGCATTGCATTGCATGCCGTGGCATGGCACCGGAAATGACGCCAACGCTGCAGCGGGAGCACGATTCGGAACGAGCGGAAGCGCGGAAATGAGGCCAGCGTTGCAGCGGGAACACGATTCGGAACGAGCGGAAGCACGGAAATGATGCCAGCGCTGCAGCTGGAGCACGATTCGGAACGAGCGGAAACCCGAAAATGAAGCCCGCGCCTCAGCGAGAACATCATTTAGATGAAAAACAAAGCGAAAACCCAACTCTGGGAAAGCCTGTGTACAACACACAGTACGCGGAGGGGTGCCCGCTACCTTCCGCACGCCATCAGGGGATGGAGGAGAGCAGTATTCATATTGTATAATTCTGGAGGAGGAGGAGGAGGCGAGGGAGGAGGGGGAGCGGGATCAGGAGCAGGAGCAGGAGCAGGAGCAGGAGGAGGAGGAGGAGGAGGAGGAGGTAGGAGGAGGAGGAGGAGGAGGAGGGATGGAGGAGGAGGAGGCGGAGGAGGAGGAGGAGGAGGAGGAGGAGGAGGGGAGGAGGAGGGGGAGGAAGAGAGGAGGGGGAGAAGGAGGAGGAGGTGGAGGAGGAGCAGTAGCAGGAAAAGGAGGAGCAGGAACAGGAGGAGGGGGAGCAGGAGGAGGAGGAAGTGCCTCGATGCCTCGGAGGTCTGGGCCTCTCTTCCCCCCCGCCCAGGACGCAGACCTGCCCGCGCAGCTGCAAGACCTGCACAAGCGCCTCTTCACCAAGGAGGGGGGGAGGGAAGGAGGAGAAAGAGGCCCATCGCGTCGCAAAACAAATCAGGGCGGCGAGCTTTTCCGTATTTTCGGCCCCTGGGGGCTCTCGCTGGGCCTCGGGGCCGTGACAAAACGATTCGGGACGCCCCTGAGTAAGGGTCGGGATTTCTTGGGACGCCGTCTTGAGCAAAAACAGGACGTCGCATGTCTGGGGGGGAAGAAGGACGAGAAGGAGGAGGAGAAGGAGGAGGAGGAAGAGGAGAGAGAGGAGGAGCAGGAGGAGGAGGAGGAGGGGGAGGGGGAGGGGGAGAAACAGATTCTGCGTGAGCGTCCAGGCTGGCGCCGAGGCAAAGTCGCACCCTTGCGCGGCGACCCCTGGGCTCGGGCTGAGTCGCCTGGCAGAGCCACGGAGCCCATGCAAAACAATTCCCCAATTCGGTCTGGCGGCTATGTGGCCGACGTCGCCGCGCCGTCGCCGCCCCGTCGTCGCCTCGTCGCCGCCCGTCGTCTGGGCCGTGCCTTCGGTCTTGCGGCTATGTTGCCGCCGTCGCCACCCCGTCGCCGCCTCGTCGCCGCCCGTCGTCAGGCCTGTGTGTCGGTCTGGCGGCTACGTGAGCGCCGTCGCCGCCTCGTCGCCGTGCTAGAATGCACGACGTCGATTGCACCGCATAGTTTGCATCACGAACATCGCACCGCACTGTTATATATATGTATGTATGTATGTATGTATGTATGCATATATATATATATATGCATTTCCCACCCCAGGATGATATGTACCCCTTTTCGTGTTGCAATTTGCATATGGTTCTGCCCCATCGTCCATCCTAAGTATGAAGTCGTACTATCTCAAGCGAACCGGTATCGACACCATCCGCCACCCTCTGCACAAGCATGTATGCGCGCACACTCGTTTATAACATATCATACGTGTTCAAACCCCGTTGCAACATAACGGGACAAAATGCACACGCGCGCGTCGTCGCGCGCGCATGCCAGCATCCTCCAAAAACCATGGGTTTCGCAACGATGTCAAAATCGTGTGTCCGAAAAACAAATGGAAACAAGTTGTTTCGCAACACGGAATTTCCAACAAGACTTGCGCGCGATCTTGCGAATTTTTCAAGAATACATAATTGCCCCACGTTTCCATGACATGCTACCAAACGGGTTTCGCGTGCGCGCATGTCGAAATCATTCGAGCGCCCTTGCGCGCGTGCTGTCGCGATAATCCTTCCTGCCAAAAATGGCACGAAGTGCACGCGCGCGCGCGTCGTCGCGCGCGCATCCCGAAATCCTGCAAGAACCATCGATTTCGTAAGGATTTCAACACCGAGCGTCGCGAAACCATCTAAAACATTTGGGTTCGCAACAACATTTCATGACCAAAACTGAGATCGCGACTTTGCGAATTCTTAGAGATTCCATTCGTTTTTTCCGACATGTTCACTGAATTCTGCCAAACAGGCTTCTCGCAACCCGGAATCATTTGAAAGCCCTTCCGCGCGTACTTCGCGCGTCGGCAGCGCGCGCGTGTCGAACTCCATCCAAAACCTCCATCACCGACGCGAGAACGACGAGGCGTGATCAGCATCGGCGCCGTCACTGGCCGCGCCGTCGTCGCTGTCAGCGTCGTCACCAACATCGCCAAAGTCGCTACTATCATCAGCGTGTCTACCTTTGTCGAGTTTGCCATGGTACCGCGCCCGCCCAAGTCGCCGACTCGCACAGAAGTGCCCGCTGGGATGTGCCCAACGGTCAGCGCCACCGCGGCCGCGTCGGTCGCGCCAATGTAGCTGGTCGCTGCGCGCGCGTGCGTGTGCGGGCTGGCGCGGCCGCAGAGATGCGCTAGCCAACGCCAGCACTCATCGCAATCGCCGCCGCATGGGTTTTGCAAACCAAGTTGACGTTGGGTGGGTGGGTGGGACGTTTGCAAGAGCATTCAATGTTTCAGCTCGCTTCTAACAATCAATTGCTATGACATATACTCATCTTTCTCACAAGAAACAAGTTGTATCACCCTCCCCCGGGGCGACCCCCCCCCCGGGAACCGATGCAAATCACATAGGATTCTGACCCAATGTCCATCCTGCCTGCAAATTCAGATTATCCCGGCCAAACCGGTATCGGCCCCCCCCCGCCATCCTTTGCAACAAAATTTATATATGCGCGCGCGCTCGCTAATCAACATTCATCAATGTTCAAAAATCCCTTGCGGAAAATGGGACGAAGTGCGCGCGCGCGCGTCGCCGCGCGTGCATGCCGAAATCCTTAACCCAAGCCCTCGGTTTCGGAAGGATTTCAACATCGAGTGTCTCAACACATACAAAAACATAGGGTTTCGCAACACTGGTTTTCTAAAAAAACTTACGCGCGCGCTCTTGCGACATCTGAAGAAAACCATCGGTGTGCACGCGCGCGCGCGCCGTCGCGCGCGCATGCCGGCATCCAACAAGAACTTTCGATTTCTGGAAGGATTTCTCAATCGATTATCCAACATACACACACATTCGCAAAACCGATGTTCTAAAAAAGCTGTCGCGTGCGCTTTTGCGAAATCTGAAATACGACCATCGGTTTTTCAAGATTTTCAAAACATGCTACCAATCGTGTGTCACAAAACCGATGCTACCAATACTACCTTCCAAAGCTTTGGTTACGGAAGGACTTCACAATCGTGTGTCCAAAAAACTACAACAACACATGGTTTGGCAACGCGTATTTTCAACAAACGCGTGCGCGCGCGCTCTTGCGTCGTCGTCGTCGTCGTCGTCATCGTCATCGCCGTCCCTCCTCCCTCGTCGTCGTCGCCGTCGTCGTCCTCTGTGTTTCCTCGTCGGCGTCGTCCTCTTTGGCGTCGTCGCCGTTTCAGTCGTCGTTGTCGCCATGGTCGTCCTTCCTCCCTCGTCGTCCTCGTCGTTCGTCGTCGGCGTCTCGTCGTCATCCCTCCTATTTCGTCGCCGTCGTCGTCATCGTCCTTTTCGTCGTCGTCGTTGTCTTCCCTCCTCCCTCGTCATTGTCGTCTTCGGCGTCGCCGTCCTCCCTCCTCCGTCGTTCGCGTCGTCGCCGTCCTCCCTCCTCCCTCGTCGTTGTCGTCGTTGTCGCCGTCGTCGTCCTCCCTCCTCCCTCGTCGTCGTCGTCGTCTTCGTTGACGACGTCGTCTTCGTCGTCGTCGTCTTCGTTGTCGTCGTCGTCGGCGTCATCGTCATCGTCGTCGTCGGCGTCGTCGTCGTCGTCGTCGTCGTCGGCGTTGGCGTCGTTGTCGTCGTTGGCGTCGTCGTCGTCGGTGTCGTCGTCGTCGTCGGCGTCGTCGTCGTCGTCTTCGTCGTCGTCGTCGGCGTCGTCGTCGTCGTTGTCGTCATCGTGGTCGTTGTCGCTGTCGTCGTCGGCGTCGGAGTCCTTGCCAAGTGCCATCTGGCACCTACCGTCACGGTCTTAAGAGGTCTTGCGACCAAGTTGCGGGTGGGAGGGTGGGATGTTTGCACAAGCGGTGGAGAGGACAGCCTCAAGTTGAGCAAGTGATTGGTTGCACCACGTAGATTGCACAACGTAGGCATTTGGCTCAAGCGCTCGCACGGCCCTGCCTCTGCGTGCCTCGGCGGTGCGGATGGCGGTGCCTATAGCGGGGCCATCGCCGCAACCGGCGCCGCCCTTCTCGTGGACGCGGCGGTCCGGGCTGCGATCGGGGCCGGAGCTCCGCGGCGTACCGCCGGGGTGGCGGCGCGTGGTGGCTGCGGCGGCGGCGGTTTCCGCCGCCGCCCGCCCATCCGCCCGCAGTCGTTGCGGCTGGCGCCGGCGCGGAGGAGCCTGGCGAGGAGGCGCCGAAGCGCGCCCCCTCGGCGGCGCAGCGGGAGCGCCGCCGCCGCCGCCCGCGCCTCGCGGCGTGGCGCGCGGGCGGGCGGGGCGCTGATTTGCGCGCCCCCGAGGCCGGGGGGGGGGTGACGGCGACGACGGCGAGGACGGAGGCGGAGGCCTGGCTCCCGCACAGCCGCCCCCTGCAGCTGGAGGTGGTCGCCCCGCAGTGCGGCCTCGACGGCGGCTGCAGCGACGACGCCAGCTTGCGCGACTCGTGGGCCGATGGTGCGCGGCCGGCGGTGGAGGGAGGGGCTGCTGCTGCTGCCGCTCCTCGGGGGTGCGGCCCTTGCACCGCCGTCGTCCGGGCAGTGTCAAGGCGACGTCGTCGGGCTGGGGGCGAACGGGGGGGCGGCCCTTGGCGGCGCGGCCGCGGCGGAGCTGCTGGCGGCGCCCTCGCCGAGGGCGTCGAGGCTCGGCGCCACCTGCCAGCGGAGCCACTGGCGGTACCGCGAGGCCTCCCCCCGCGGGGCGCGAGGGTGCGGGTGCTCGTGGGCGCTACGGCTGGGCGCACTGGCCGTGTGCGCACCTCGGGTTCAGGTGCCGCGGTCATCCGCTTCGACCGCGTCGGGAGTGGCGGCAAGACCAAGGGCAAGCCCCAGCAAGCGGCGCTGGGCTTCGACGACTTCGCGGAATGCGGCGGGGGCCAGCGTCGCGCCGCCGAGTCGGCGCGAGGCCTGCGGGCCGAATCGGCGCGAGGCGCCTGCCTGCGGGCAGAGGAGCTCCTAATGGGGGAGCAGGCGGGGCGCTGTTGGCCGTGGTGTTGGGCGGCCCCTGCCTGGGCCTGGCGTGGCGCGCTGGGCCGTCGTGCTCGACTTCTTCGGCGCGGGTGGCCTCCCGCGGGAGCCTGCGGACCGTGCGCGCCTACTCGCGTTGAGGCGGGCGTGTGGTCGCCGTGATACAAAAATAGCTTGCACAGCGCAGGGCTCACAACGCTGATCTTCTTTTCTCCCAGAAACAGAATAGGTTCTGCCGCCCTCCCTCCCCGGGGTTAAAGACCCTCAGGAGCCGATGTAAAACACATCGGATGCTGACCCAATGTCCATCCGACCTGTGAACTCGTACTATCCCAGCCAAACCAGTGTCGGTCCCCCCGCCATCCTCTGCAAGAAATACTATGCGCGCGCACTTGTTTATCACAAAGCATAAAGTGTCAACAGTCCCTTGCGACAAATGGGACGAAGTGCGCACGCGCGCGTCGTCGCGCGCGCATTTCGAAATCCTTTCGAACAACCTTCGGTTTCGGAAGGATTTGTAATCGACGTTCAAAGAAAAACGTGCAAAAACACAGGGTTCCGCACCGCTGATTTCCTAAAAAAGCTTGCGCGCGCTCTTGCGAAGTCTGAAGTAAACCATAGATTTCTCATATTTTCCGAACATATTACCAGACGGGTTTCGCGCGCGCATGTTGAAATCTTTAGAACGCCTTTGCGCGTGCCGCCGCGAGAATCCTTTGCAACAAATGGGACGAAGCGTGCGCGTCGTCGCGCACGCATGCCGAAATCCTTCAAAAACCTTCGGTTCCGGAGGATTTAGAATGTCCAAAAAACTACAAACACATAGGTTTCGCAACACGGATTTTCAACAAAAACGTGCGCGCGCGCTCGCGTCGTCGTCGTCGCCGTCCTCCCTCCTCACTCGCTTGTTTTTTTATTGCTCGGACCCGTGACGCCCGTTACGGGGGGGACCCCCCCCCCCGTAACGGTAACGAGCGTACGGGGACGGGGGTGCGGACCCCCCCTCCGTCCAGGTAGGCAGGCATGCTATGACGCTCACATGTTTGCTCAGGTTCGAGGTTCGAGGTTCGAGGTTCGAACCTCGGCGCACACTCAAAGTGGGTCCACGGGGCCCGACTGGGGCTCAGACGCACCAGTTTCCCGAGCCGCGTCCAGCCGCGGCGACGACGAAGGCCCTCGAGGGCCAGGATGCCTCGATCCTCGCGGTTCGAGGTTCGCATCCCTCGGCGCGAACCTTTCAACGGGTTCCGGCCTGGCCCCTCCACCTCCTTTGCCTTGCTTCTGCACTCCCTCCAGTGCTCGTGCCCTCCACTCCCTCCACAGTCGCAATGGAGTACACAGGCGCTGTGGGCTCAACAGGTCCGAGCGCTTTTTGAACCAGAAAAACTGAAATCCACAAGCAGCTCACATAATGAAAGGGCCACGGTTGGGCCCCGAACGATGTTCTGGACTTTCGCTCCGCCTGTACCTTACAGGTGTACACAAGCTTTGTGGTGTACGCTGGCATTCTGGTGCAAACACGGGGCGTTGAAACAGCAGCTGTGGTGCACGCGGGCGCCGTGGTGTGCACCAACAGTGAAATGTACAAGGGCGCTGTGGTGCACCCGCCTGTCATGATGTGCTCAGTCGCCGTGGTGCACACACATACCATTTTTGCCGCAGTTGTGGTGTACAAAGGCATCGCGGTGTACAGAGCCTGTGTAGTGTGCACAGGCACGGTCGGCTTCGACGACGACGACAGCGGCGACGACGACGACGACGACGACGACGACGACGAGGGAGGAGGGAGGACGACGACGGACCGTGCGGAGCCTACTCGCGTTGAGGCGGGCGTGTGGTCGCCGTGATACAAAAATAGCTTGCACAGCGCAGGGCTCACAACGCTGATCTTCTTTTCTCCCAGAAACAGAATAGGTTCTGCCGCCCTCCCTCCCCGGGGTTAAAGACCCTCAGGAGCCGATGTAAAACACATCGGATGCTGACCCAATGTCCATCCGACCTGTGAACTCGTACTATCCCAGCCAAACCAGTGTCGGTCCCCCCGCCATCCTCTGCAAGAAATACTATGCGCGCGCACTTGTTTATCACAAAGCATAAAGTGTCAACAGTCCCTTGCGACAAATGGGACGAAGTGCGCACGCGCGCGTCGTCGCGCGCGCATTTCGAAATCCTTTCGAACAACCTTCGGTTTCGGAAGGATTTGTAATCGACGTTCAAAGAAAAACGTGCAAAAACACAGGGTTCCGCACCGCTGATTTCCTAAAAAAGCTTGCGCGCGCTCTTGCGAAGTCTGAAGTAAACCATAGATTTCTCATATTTTCCGAACATATTACCAGACGGGTTTCGCGCGCGCATGTTGAAATCTTTAGAACGCCTTTGCGCGTGCCGCCGCGAGAATCCTTTGCAACAAATGGGACGAAGCGTGCGCGTCGTCGCGCACGCATGCCGAAATCCTTCAAAAACCTTCGGTTCCGGAGGATTTAGAATGTCCAAAAAACTACAAACACATAGGTTTCGCAACACGGATTTTCAACAAAAACGTGCGCGCGCGCTCGCGTCGTCGTCGTCGCCGTCCTCCCTCCTCACTCGCTTGTTTTTTTATTGCTCGGACCCGTGACGCCCGTTACGGGGGGGACCCCCCCCCCCGTAACGGTAACGAGCGTACGGGGACGGGGGTGCGGACCCCCCTTCCGTCCAGGTAGGCAGGCATGCTATGACGCTCACATGTTTGCTCAGGTTCGAGGTTCGAGGTTCGAGGTTCGAACCTCGGCGCAAACTCAAAGTGGGTCCACGGGGCCCGACTGGGGCTCAGACGCACCAGTTTCCCGAGCCGCGTCCAGCCGCGGCGACGACGAAGGCCCTCGAGGGCCAGGATGCCTCGATCCTCGCGGTTCGAGGTTCGCATCCCTCGGCGCGAACCTTTCAACGGGTTCCGGCCTGGCCCCTCCACCTCCTTTGCCTTGCTTCTGCACTCCCTCCAGTGCTCGTGCCCTCCACTCCCTCCACAGTCGCAATGGAGTACACAGGCGCTGTGGGCTCAACAGGCCGAGCGCTTTTTGAACCAGAAAAACTGAAATCCACAAGCAGCTCACATAATGAAAGGGCCACGGTTGGGCCCCGAACGATGTTCTGGACTTTCGCTCCGCCTGTACCTTACAGGTGTACACAAGCTTTGTGGTGTACGCTGGCATTCTGGTGCAAACACGGGGCGTTGAAACAGCAGCTGTGGTGCACGCGGGCGCCGTGGTGTGCACCAACAGTGAGATGTACAAGGGCGCTGTGGTGCACCCGCCTGTCATGATGTGCTCAGTCGCCGTGGTGCACACACACATGCCGCAGTTGTGGTGTACAAAGGCATCGCGGTGTACAGAGCCTGTGTAGTGTGCACAGGCACGGTCGGCTTCGACGACGACGACAGCGGCGACGACGACGACGACGACGAAGCCTACCGTGCCGACAGTCGTGCTGGTAATAAGTACCAGGGCCCGTGCGAGGGCCCCGCCGCGCGTTACCGTTACCCCTAACTTCGGGCCGGACCCCCCCCCCCCCCGTAACGGGCGCTACCCCCCCCCAATAAAAAAACAAGCTCGTCGTCGTCGCCGTCGACGTCCTCTGTCTTTCCTCGTCGTCGTCGCCGTCTTGGCGTCATCGTCGTGTCCGTCGTCGTTGTCGCCGTGGTCGTCCTTCCTCCCTCGTCGTCCTCGTCGGCGTTTCGTCGTTGTCCCTCCTATTTTGTCGCCGTCGTCGTCGTCGTCGTCATCTTCCCTCCTCCCTCGTCGTTGTCGTCGTCGGCGTCGCCGTCCTCCCTCCTTTTTCGTCGTTCGCGTCGTCGCCGTCCTCCTTCCTCGTCGTTGTCGCCGTTGTCGCCGTCGTCGTCCTCCCTCCTCCCTCGTCGGCGTCGTCGTTTTCGTTGGCGACGTCGCCATGGTCGTCTTCGTCGTCGTCGTCGGCGTCGTCGTCGTCGTCGTTTCCGTCGTCGGCGTTGTCGTCGTCGTCGGCGTTGTCATCGTCGTCGTCGTCGGCGTTGGCGTCGTCGTCGTCGGTGTCGTCGTCGTCGTCGTCGTCGTCGTCGTCGTCGTCGTTGTCGTCGTCGCCGTCGAAGTCGTTGGAGACGTCGTCGGTGTCGTCGTAGTCGTTGTCGACGCCGGCGTCGTCGTCGTCGTTGTCGCTGTCGTCGTCGGCGTCGGTGTCGTTGCCAAGTGCCATGTGGTACCCATCGTCACGGTCTTAAGAGGTCTTGCGGCCAAGTTGCGGGTGGGAGGGTGGGATGTTTGCACGAGCAGTGGAGAATACAGTTTCAAGTTGAGCAAGTGATTGGTTGCACCACGTAGACGGCACCATTCAGAGTGCACCACGCAATGTAGGATGACTTCCAATGAAAGACTGGGTGTCGCGTTGCGTCGGCGGTGCCCCGGAGGATGAATAGAAAAAACAAACCGCGGGCTGGGAAACTATTTAAAAAAAATCGTTCCCCACCCTGCCGTCCTCGGGCGCGCGCCCGGACAGCCGACGGGCCAGACGGAGCCGAAGCGGAGGCTTAGGAGGGAGGGGTTCAAGGAGAAAGGAGCGGGGGCAACAGCAGCGGGATGCAATCACAGCGACGAACGGATCGGATCGACGCAGGATTCGAAGCCGACGTGTAATAGACATTTGTGAATCGTCCTCCTCCCGTTGAGAAATCATATAGAAATCAAAGGAACTATTTGTTTTAGTCGTTCCCCCGATTTTTTATTGATCGTCGTCCTGCTTTACTTTGCACACCATATATCGCGCCACAGAAACTTGACAAACTATATTGCAAAACGTAGATTGCACCACGTAGACGCTCCACGTATGTTGCACAACATAGACGCACCACGTATATTGCACAACATGGATGACACGACAAAGGTCAAAGATGGCACAACGTACAGTGCACCACGGAGACTGCACCGCACAGCATGCGCAAGTAGATCGCACAGATTGCGCCGCGTGGCTTGCACAACACACCTCACACCACGCAGCGCGCGATTTAAAGCACTGCGCCGCGCAGACTGCACAGCGCCCAGCGTTGCACAGCAGTATTGGAGCCATCTTGGCCCTCTTGGAGGCCATCTTGGAGCGTCTTGGAGGCCATCTTGGCCTTCTGCGAAACATCCTGGCCCATCTTGGGGGGGCAACATCCATGGGAGATGCTTTTTCTGGTGGGCCGACGTGGTGAGCCGGAGGCC